GGGTGGGGGGGGGGCTTTCTATTTTATTGACATTTGCTAACAACGGAGCAAAGTTACCCCTAACCTGCCAGCACTGCAATTTTCCACCATCTAAGCACACAGGGGGTAGATTCTGAAATTCATTTATCGCAGTCAGCAGATATTACGGAGACGTATTTCAGATAATAACTACGCGAGCCTCTCCCAGGTTGCAGGCTGCATCCCTGCTCCCGCCACCCCGGAAAAGACCCCCATAGACCGCCGGCTGCAACGTTCAACCTTTCCATGCTCCCTGCAACTTGCAGAGCCACTTCTGCACCTTCTTCTACGGCTCTCTTCTTTTTTTCTTTTTCTCTGGGTACGTTTAAAGTCCCGTCCCTGCCATCCGAATCCGTTTATTTGCACACCAAAGGTGAATAAAACACGCTTCCCATTCCTGCCTGTTCTCAAACTGGAGGATCAGCCATGTCCTTCCAACCCTATCAAATGAAATAATAATAATAGTAGTAGTAATAAAAGTTGGAGCCTATTATTGTTTTGCTCAAAAATCTCAATTAAAAATCGACAGCGGAAATAGGTTAGGAAGAAAGAAAGAAGAAAGAAAAGAGGGATAGATAGATAAATAGATAGTAATAGCAGGGTTAGTAACAGGATATAAAACTTTAAAACCATCCTTAGACGAATAATTTAAGTAATTACTTTCCCTCTATTTTGCACAGGGATAATTTCAGCCTATTCTAAAATCCTTTTCAAGTAATTATTGTCGTCGAAGTACTTGCAGCAGTATAATTAAGGGGTTTTTTTTCCTCTGTCTGAAAAAAAAAGTGAAAATTTTATTTTTTCTAAACACTTTTATTGTCGATTGAGCAGAGTTTGGTTTAATCTGAGAGCATAAAAATCCAGAAATGCTGTACATAAGTAAAGAGAGCTTAATATGATAGCTTTTTTTTTTTTTGCAGGGGGGGGGGGTGTGATATATAAGAATTTCTACCAACAGTAAAAACCAAAATAAGTGGATTGAAGTGTTTTCCAAAAAGACCTTAAATTCTCGCGCCGGTGGATGCCCATGTGCCCCTAGAAATGTTTACAAAGGGAATTAAAAAAAGGACGGAGTTGCTACTTACGTCCAAAATAGAGGAGGAGAAAACGGGAGTGAAGTTGTTCTTGGAAGTTAACATTTTTATCAAGTGCAGTAGAATTTTATGGTCATGATGTGGTACTAACTCACCAATGTAGCAGAAATCAATGGCTGACCTTAAATCATTCATATACTGTACTACAGATTCCTGATGAAAGGAAAATGTTTCTATTATAAGAAAAAACAAGAGAGAGAGAGAGGATAATTTATAAATACCCAGTGGAGGAAAGATTTATTAGGAAATCAGACGGAAAAAAGGAGGGAAAAAAACCTTACTAGGTAAACTCTAACTTTTCATTACTTTGCATTTTACTGAGTATATAAAATGACTTTTCTGCTATTTTTTTTTACAGGTAGCTCTATTTAAACTGAGATTTGTTTTTGTAGCGTTCCAACCCTGTCTGGCGATGCTTAAACTTTGCCCCTGTAAACACCATACTCCATTCTGCATGGAAAGCCGCTGCTTTTGCCTTGTGTACTGGCTAAATCATGTTATATTCCGTTCCGGAAAATTGTTCATGGGAAATTGACAAATTTGTTGTACCTCTGAGGAGAAGGATTCATTCAGAAAGTGTGTGGATCTTCAAAGTTGGAAAGAAACTTCCTATTAAAATCGTGAGATTCTTTCCCCTTTGTTCCCTTGTCCATGACATACGTATATATATACAGTGAGTGAATATAGGAACTAAATATTTAAATCTTTATTCCTTTTTTATTTTGAGGGCGATTTTTTTTAAAAGAAACGTGAATTGAGGGGGATAAAACTTTATGTGGTTGTTCCTAGTGGGATCTTGCTCCGTATTCAAGCACGGGACATGGATACGATTTGGAATTCATTTAAAAATACATTTTAGGGCTTTCTCCCCGCAGTGATGTTTTCAAACATATTTCTGGACACGAGTGGAGCACACGGCCAGGAACAGCTTGGAACCGGGCTGCTAAGAGGCACCAAGGATGCTGTTTCCATAGTTGTAAAATAAAAAATAGCATCTGACTCTCAGATGATGATGATGATGATTTTGCCTAGAAATCAAAACCAGTTCAAATCAATGCTAGGGAAAGTGCAGATGATTTTTTTTTTTTTTTTTTTTGGAGCAAGGAGAAACGCGGGGTGGTATGTGCGTTTCCCAACTCTTTCACCTACTCCTTTTCCTTTCTGTAAAGGTAAAGCTTGGCTTTTGGAATAATTAAACCGCCCCCCCCCCACTCCCTCCCTCCTTGAACCAGACGGACTAACCGCATGGAAGAAGAAAGAGATGCGTTTTCCAATGAACAGTTGAAATAAATGCCTTTTTCATCCC